GCCCGCTATCAGATCAACAAGGACATGTCAGCAGTCGCTATGTTTTCCCCCACAACCAGAGCTTATCAGTTAGATGGTCTTCCCATCCATTGTGGACCATACAGCTACATCCCAAATGCTCACCATGTTTTTGGCCAACACCACGGCTTGTTGCCGACGACCCCTGGCCCTCACCAGGAATGGGCAGCCCCCTGGCCCTCACCAGGAAATGAGCAGAAAATTTGAAGATGTAGCAACATGACATCACCTTCGGTGACGGCCCCCCGCCGGAACTGAATCCGCGGAGGGCGGGTGGGGCACTGAAATCTGCAGTCATAGACCGGCAGGTTCCCTCAAACAAGCTAAGTGACATGTCAATTGATTCATCATTAGGACATGTCAGCAGCCGCTATGTTTTCCTCCACAACCAGAGCTTATCAGTTAGATGGGCTTCCCATCCATTGTGGACCATACAGCTACATCCCAAATGCTCACCATGTTTTTGGCCAACACCACGGCTTGTTGCCGACGACCCCTGGCCCTCACCAGGAATGGGCAGCCCCCTGGCCCTCACCAGGAAATGAGCAGAAAATTTGAAGATATAGCAACATGACATCACCTTCCACGGACTCCTCTCTGGCCTAGGGCCGAAAGAATAAGAGCAAGCTCCTTCATGTAACTGCGTTGAGCATCAGAAATTTGGAGGTGACTGAGCGTGGCAGCTGCATCTTGCAAGTAAATGCGGGCTGTGGTGGTTGAAACCCATCGCCCACGCAAAAGTGTGGCCTCCATGCTCTGCTCGGAGATGAAATGCCACGTGGCGCCACCACGCCGGAAGCTGTACAAAGAAAAGTGGCCAGCAACTTGGTGTTGAATTGTGGTGTGAAAAAGGTGCCGGAGATCTGCAGGAGAGCAATCAAGAAGCTTGTCCTTGGGTTTTTTGTTTTTCAACGCAAGCCACAGCCAGACATTCGTCACATGGCTGTGACAGACCACCATCTCCGTCGCTGCTTTTCGTTGGCCTGTTTTTGTGCCGTGGAGCGAGAGGATAGCTTTACCCCGGGCCCATGTCACGTGCTGCTTTTGCAAGGCGTAAAGTTCGCCAGGGCGCAGCAAAGCATCGAAGGCAACCAAAAAGGCGCGGCAGCAGAGACATACCCAAGCCGGGCACAGGCACCGCTGATGGCCACCACCATGAGCGGGCTGATGGGTAGCACGCGCACTGGCGGCTCCATCTTCTGCCAAGATTTGAGCAACCTCCAGCTGTGTCGCAATTTCCCAGCAACCTCAGGGACGAAGTGCTGTAAGGCAGCTAATCCATCTGAACCATAACCTTTGGGATATCCTTCAGAAAACACATGCTCCAGGAATTGTGCGGCAGCCACGTCAAAGTCTTCCCAAGTCTTAGGCATGGTGTTACTGTTCCTCCAAAAGTTCAAGATTCTTGCAGCCGCCACTGCATACCTCTCGTGGAGGCTAGGACTCAGGACCTTGTCTCCCAAGGTCAAGCCGGACCGCTTTTCCTTGCGCGCTTGCCGAAGTTGCTCTTGCTGATGGGTTGTCGTTTTGCCCAATCTTAAAGGCAAGTCCGACGGATTGTCCTCACTTGCTACGTACGCAACAGCCAGTCTGATTTCCCCTGCAAGCAGCAGGGAGGAAAGCTTCTGAATAGCTCTTCGAAGACGGTGGCTGGAAGTCCTCCCTTGGAGATAACCGAGGCCACCACCTGGTTATCTACCAAATGGAGAACACGGTGCCTGAATCTAGACACCTTACGAAGCCTCCATTGCAACGCGTTCACGGTGGGTTGCAACTCTAGCACATTTATGTGACTGGCATGTCGCCATTTGAAACCATTGATGATTTTCCAGTGAAAAAGCGAAGATCTGATACCAGCCCTAGGCCAAGCTCTAGCTCTAAAAGGTATACCTACATCCAGCTTAACATCAGTGCCACCTCGATCCCCCTGTCTGAGAAACTCTTGAACCAGCATGCATGCATGAGTATCAGGTGAAGAGTTGGTCACAAATTGTGGCTTGACACACCAGGCAGTAGAAGCTACTTCATCCCTGGCTAAGATGCGGTCGAGTTGCCGTGGCTTGTGTGTTGTGCTGAAGTGGGCCAGCAGCTCATCCAAGAGAAATGTGATGCAATAGACGTTGAAGGAGTTCCCAAGCATGCAGGCACCCTGGTCAAAGGCCTCCATCATGGTAAGCTTTGGACTCAATCCTTCAGAGACATATCCGGCCGGAAACCCCATCAGTTTTTCCCGTTCCATCACTGAAGGCACCCTCAGCACACCATCGGGCCTGTTCACCAAATGCCAGACTTCGTACTGGTACACTTGAAACCTGTAGTTGTCAGCAGACCAACGCTGGATAGCATCTGATGAAGCCGTTTGGACCCCCGCTGGTTGGCGAGGCGGAGTGCTTCTTGGCAGGGCCCTTGTGAATGTTGGCAGTGGCATATCGCTCGAGTGGCTGCACCCGTTATCTAACCACCAGTTAGGATCAGTGCAAAGGTCAGGGAATTTCCATTCACGATATGTATCGTGCTCCACCATTTCCTCTTGCCCCCGAGCTGTTATTGGCCAGTCCACCCAGAACAACCTGGGCCTACGACATTTGCTGAAGGCTGTGCAGTCAATCAGAACGGGCTGATGCCCCAACGTCTCGCTGAACTGGTCCCTGTTTTCTTTTGTCATTGAAAAAACATTTTCCACAAAGGTGAAGATAGGACAGGCAAACGCGCGCTTCAGGTCTTGAAAAATTCTGGGCATCTCAAAAAAGAGTTTACTACGCGCACCTGCAAGCCCTTCCCTGCCCGCCAGCAGGGCCGTTAAGTCCTGACAAGGGCTGCCGCCCCCGCAAAGGACAAAGTCAATCTGGTACCCTACGCTTCGGGACAGGGTCTCCAGCATTGAAGCAATGACTTTTCGAACATCGCCAAGTTCCATGACACCTGGCCAACGCCTGCGCACTAGGCGACAACAGGCCTTGTCCACTTCCGAAGAAGCAAAGGCCACCACTCTGCATTCAAGCCGACAAAGTGCGCACATTAAAGCTGCAATGCCATCGAAAAGTGAGATGACAACGACTCGGGGGCCTTTGTCATTTTGTATGCTCACCGCACCTTGGGGCTGAAAGGCCGCACAACGCGTCCTTTTGTATTCAGGTGATTGCAGCTTGTTGAGCTCTGCCATGCCTAGGTCTGTGAGCCGCCCGCTGCTGCATATGCCTCCTCCATGTTCACTGGCATCAGAGCAAGTGACCAACCCGCTGATGGGAGCACGCAGGTCCGCTCCTGCTAGGCGCCACATGCAGACTGAATGAAGAAGTTCTTGCACGCCTTTAGCACTCAGCGGCTTTCTGACCTTGGGACCTTCTTTTGGCCAAACTGTGGAAAGCAAACACATCAAAGGTCTCCTGAATTCAAAACAGCGCACCAAGCGTCCCAGCACCATCAAGAGGATCTTTATGGGGGGCCTGTCCAACCCTAAAAACCGGATTGCAAAGAAGGCCGTCTCCATCTTCTTCTCCAGGGGCACTCCCACCGTGCCATCCAACCCATTTACTTCCGCGCCCATCCTAATCACTCTGGGCTGTCTGATGTGGGCCTTATCTTCAGCTATACCAACCCCCCAGCTATGGTAGGCCTGTCGCTGTCTCTTGTGCGTCTCACCCATAGTGCCCTGCTTACCTTCCCAGCCGTCACTGGGAACCAGTTCCGGACAGTCAAAATCGTCCAGGTAAAACTGGACAAACTCTAATACATTGCCATCTGAACTTTGTGGCACCGGCCGGTCTCTTCTCCATTCCAGTTCCTCCGGATGGCCCGCACCTTCAGGAGGCTGGAGCATGCCAAGGTTCCTGTGCAAATGCTGAAACAAGCTAATCGCTTGTATCCAGCCCATGGGAATAACTCTGGAGGCCACGTACTCCCATTGCTTCTTTGATCCCACCAAGTGACCGGGCACGGGCCAGCAGAAAGCCATGTACGGACGCCAACAACGTGGAAGTTCCCACGCATAAAAAGCCCCCTTCTGATCATCTCCGCTCCACAGGAGGACCTGATTCGGCTCCAGCACCAATTGCGCCCATGCCGAAGACCCGGAGAGCGTGCTCAAATCTCCTGCCATCAAACGTTGAAAGCTATTTGTTGGGACGAAGTTCATGATCAGTCGTGTGACACGGCACTGGCCTACACCAGCCTTCCCGCGCTTCTCAACAGCGAATGCTCCATTTAGAACCGGGGTATCTCCTACTTTAAAAATCTCCGTGTAATCAATAGGTTCTATAATGCCCCTGTGGAACAAAACTTCGCAGATGCTGTACCCTTCATCTTTGGTGGCGTTAATCCTTGCTTTGGGGGGCATACCTGGCCAACACTCAGGCGGTTTTAATGTCAACGAGGGATCCAGCACCCACGCTCGAACATCGCCAGTTGCAGCATTCACTGCACTCAGCGACCCTGCCACGCCTGCTACCGGAAGCCCCGGCA